ACCACCAGGGAAGCATTATTGCAGACAATTTATTGTCAAGCTGACTCAGTGCTCCCAAATGAAACAGCACAATTTTAAGTACAGCTCATCCATGCTCAGGTATATATATAAATATATTCAAACAGAATAGAGCACACCTTCTACTTTCAATCTTGCTATCGTCTTACATTTTCTCCAGTCATTATTGGTTTTCAAAATTCTGATAAATTGTAGAGCTATGTCCTTGGCACCTGACCAACTACTTGAGAAGGTACAACACTTTCTAAAGGAAGAAAGAAAAAAAAAAAAAGTGACCCGCCTAATTCACTGACAAAAATAATGTCCGCTATTTGTAGAAAAATATACTCACTTGAGTATACAACAAATTATGCATAATTTATAAGGTTACTACACAACAAAATAAACTACCAAATAACCTATCTTTGTTGCTACAATAAATTTGTGATGCTTGGCAGGCAAAAAAAAAAAAAAAAAGAGTGATCATTAAGGTACTTATATTCTATAAAATGGCAATTACAAGATCATCAATATCAAATCATCAGTGAGATTAAGTAGGTGATATCTTGCCCAAATAGGTAACCAGTTTAAAAAAAATTAAAAATTCTATCTTTTTATCTAACACATGCAATTCTTTCAGCATAAATACTTTCAAGACAGAAGAAAGACTACTTTATTCTAGTGCCATCTTCCAAGATTGAAATTACTTCAAACTAGTAGACAACCTTGAAGACAGCAAGATTACCCACAGTCAAGTATAATCATTTTAACTACTGTTTTTAGGACTTTATGGAATAATAAGCTTTTAGCATGAGCTAATAATCTCACTTGGAATAAAAAATAAAATGTGCTTTGAAGTAACTGACTATGTAAAAATGAAATGTTTTACAAGATGGACTCATCAACAAAAGCACTATTTCACACTCATCAAATTGTCAGCATTTAAACAGAACTAAAATTAAATCTCTTCCAAAATAAAAATTGTTCCAATTTAGGGCTGAAAACTGAAACAAGGACACAATAAGAATAAAATTAAAGTTTTTATTCTGTCATAGTTCTTTTGAGTTTTATGAATCATTGAGTAATACATAGGTCAATTGCTTGATCTTATTAAGTGAGAAGTGATTCCTGAACTAATTTAAATGACCTATTAGGTCTGTTCTCTCTAGGACAAATCAATTCCATTCAGTCATGTAAATCTGGGTAATTTGTAACTCACTTCTGGAAATGTTACACTCCTGTAATTAGGACACCATTTTGCATTCCAGTGATGTCATAAAATTTCTAAATAGTACTCAAGCAGCCTGAGGGAGTTAACGTTATTTAACAGACTCAGAGTACTTACTATATGCCCAGCATTGTCCTAAGTGCTTTACAAACATTAACTCCCTATACAGTATTTTCAGTATATTTAGTAACTAAGTTCTTATGAGGCTTAATGATGATGTGAACTGGTATTTAACAATGAGTAAAAGTAAACAATCATATTCATTGACTCTTTGAAATTAAGAGTATTCATTTCTAACAAGCAGGACCATCCCACTGTAGCATGAATCTAACCAATTAATGCTCCTTACTGAAATCCTTGGACAGCCTACTGGATTAAGTCCCCATTCCTCAGTAAATCAGGAAAGTGCTACAGCATCAATTCCCTGCTTTCTTCTTTTGTCTCTTTGGTCCCTTAACTATCCGTAGTTCACAAAGACAAGTCCAGACTTCACATTCCTATGTCCTTGCTCTCCCTTCAGTTGGCTGTGCCCATTCCCTCCCTTTAAAATAGCCAATTACTAATTCCCTCTCAAAACACAACTAAGACAGTTGCGTCCTCAAAAAAGCCCACCCTGACTGCTTACTTAGGTAAGTGCTGGGACTTCTCTGTTTTCACACCAATCTTTGATCACTTCCAGAAAACCATGGGGAAGGGCAAAAGGAATTCCTTATTCATTCATTCATCTTCCCACTAGTCTGTGAACACCTTAGAGGCTAGAACTGTGTCTTTTATCTGTAAAGTCCTAGGGCCTTGCACAAAAATTGCTGCAAAGCAGGAACCCATGTAAATAAATGTCTTTTAAATAAACTAATTGAAAAACCTATATATAAACTTTGTGAGCTCACAAAAAAGTCATCCTGGTTTTATTTCTGCAACACACACACATAAAAAATTGCTAAAAATATCTGTGGATACCTAAAGATATCTATTTAATTACCAAAGAAATAGCAAGAGCCGTATAAAACCAACTTATTTTTTCAGGTCCAATGACAACTCTTAGAAAACTAGAAATGCCAGAAGTGCAAGAAAACTTCTTAGTTTCCTAATTGTAGTAAAAGTTGGCCTATGTCAAATAGGTCTTTGCAATCCTAACTGCCAGATGCAGTCCTAGTTGACCATGATTTCAGCAGTAGTTTAAGGAACATGATGAACTGCAATGGATCCCCAAGTGATGCAGACATCAAGATATACTGTGTGAGGGCTGGAGTTGTAGCTCGATGGTAGAGCACTTGCCTAGCACTGTGTGAGGCACTGGGTTTGATCCTCAGCATGAAATAAAAACAAAACAAAATACAGGTATTGTGTTCAACTGCAATTAAAAAATTTTTTTAAGAAAAAAGAAAAAATATATTGTGTGGCCTATGTGCCAAGCACTGGGACAATTTCTTATAATAATTAATTGTAATAATTACTTTGATGACAATACAAACTTTCACTTCTAACTTGAATTAATAATGTAGTCATGGTGCTTAACCTAAATTCTATCAATTTATTCACACCTCACCAAAAGTCAAGAGTCATTCTTCTCAATTGTGAGATTTATTGCTTTAAAAAGTAAAATCTGCAGGGGCCCAAGGTATTTTCTGACCAATGTGGACAGGTCTATGAATCAAAAAAACTGCAGAAGTAGTGCCCTATAAATGGTGAGAAAAGGACTGGCTTGTTTTTCAAAATGTTGGTCTTTCACCAACACACAGTATGTCAGAAGTTACTGAAGACAGCATTACCAGCATTGAGGCAGAGACTCAGAGTTTCCAGGTTCAATCCTGTGATTTTTCTGTATCTCTACTTCCTTCTGTACTTCCTCTCCCAGAAAGTCTCTATGATTTGTTCTAAAACACAGTTGTATCTCAGCAAAATTCAGACTGTAGGAAACTACATGATGAAAGACTTCAAGTCTTTAAATAAATAACATAAAAAAAAAACAACAAAGAAATGGAGAGAGGAAATCATACATTAAAAGAAGCCTAAAAAAAATAAATCAATCGTGGTCTCTAGGCATTAATTGGATCCTTGTTCAAATAGACAAATGCGATATATATATATATATATATATATATATATGTGTATATATATATGTATATATATATTTACGTATATATTATATATGTGTGTATATAAAATATAAATAAAATATTACATATATACACACATAACACATATATGTACATGTACATATATGATACTTGAAGTTTTTCTGGAAAGACTGGTTATTCAATAGTGGTAAGAAATTATTCTTAATATTTTAAAATATGATAATGTCAGGGTTACATGTTTTAAAAGAATTCTTACCTTTCAGGGGTATACTACTGAAATTTTTGCTTCAAAATAATACACGAGGGGAAAGAATAAGTAGAGAGTAGAGATAAAACAGCAGTTGCTAAACATTGAAACTGGGGGTTCATTATGTTATTCTGTCTAGTTTTGTGTGTTTGATATTTTTTATAATCAAAGGTTGCAAATTGGCATGAGAATATTCCTCCACAAAAATACTCCTAATTATTTGAAAAATAAGATTAAGAAACTATGCTCCCTTTTCTTTCAGTTTTCCAATGAAAACAAGTCAAAATGAAAAAGGAAAATAGACTCCATTAAAATGACTTGGAATAGTATGTCTTCTACTAAAATAATCTAACTTTGATGGATATTACAGTAGTCCTTAGATTAATGTCTTATCGTATATTGACAAAATTTTAACAGAATCAAGCATTTGGCTACAAATTCAGATGTAAATAATATTTTTCTAATTTCACACAGTTTAAATATATGGATAAGTCAATATAAATATCACTTCACTCAGATATATCTTAAAGTATTGGTGAGTATATTTAAGCATGTGAAAATGTTCAGTTTGCCTTTGCTTCAGTGAAGTTTAAAAAAAATTTCAACTACATGAATAATTTCTATCTTAATATGTACTTATAATTGGGTGAACTGCCTGCCAGGTTTATAGCTATAAATTCAAAAATACTTACACAGCTCCCAAAATATTTACTAAAATTAGCTGATAAATTCTAAATAATTTTCAAACATATCTGTGGATATATGACATTAATCTAAATACAGATACAATAATAAGCTAGGTTTTTAAAATAATTTTATATGCTTAATAAACAAAACAGCCCTAATTACACCAAGAGAACTGCTACTAATGAAGAAAGGGGAGGGGGGAACCCCTTTTGTAGAAAGCAGTGGTGAATCTTTGGTTTCCACAAATCTAAGTGATCAGAGAACTTAAGTTTAACTTATTTTTACAGTTTGGGTTTCTTAGGAACACCTGCCCAGTCCCACCCCCCTCCATTCTTTTACAGTACCAATCTTGCATTACAAAGTCTAAGCTTTCAGCATTAAACAACAATGATGATGCAAACCTGCCCATATAGAATCTCCTCCCCCATGCAAGTTTTTTGCTTGACTAAAATGAGAGGGTCTACTCTCTCCCCGCCCCTTCACTAAGGTTACTCTCTGCTGGAGGTATCCCGCCCAAAGTACCCTACTTCCCATGGAGCAAAGCAAAGCTCTCAGCAGTGCTTCTTTCGGTTAATTTTTTTTTTTTTTTTTTTTTTTTTTTTTTTTTTTTTTTTAGTCCCTTTTCCCCTTCTTTTTGCATGACTCGCATTAGGATTGCGCTGATTTCACCCAAGTCACCCGTCTCCAGGGCAACCAAGAGCAAACGTGAGGTCGCGGGTGGGCCAGGCCGCTCGAAGGACCACCTCCTGCACCGCGCTCTCACCTGCCGGCCGCCGAGGTCGCCCCGCACCCGAGTGTTGAGCTCGTCATGCTGAGTTTCGTCTTCGCCTCCCGAGCGGTAGATGAGGCGCAGTGGCACGATGCTCTGGCGCTCCAGGAAGCGGTTTTCATTCCTCCTTTCCAGCTCCGTCAAAGAGGCGTCTCCTTCCAGGCAGGAAGGGGGGCAGAAGGGAGTGGAGAGAAAAGGCAAAAATAAAGACTCTGACCCACACTCGTCCCTCCCGTGGTCCTACATCTCTCCCTCACGAAAATTCCACCGCCTCCTCCCTCCCGGACCCCATCTGGAAGGACGCAGAGGCACCAGCTGGAGAACCTTGGACCAGCTCATCTGAGAGCATCCAGGATTGGGGCCCAAAGGCAGGGTACCCCTTTCCCATTCTCCCCAGTCCTCTTAAGAAAAACAGGCATTTGACCCAAGGCTTCTAGTGCATCCGCGCGCCCCCATACATGCATTTTTGCTCCGCTTCTCATCACCCTTCCAAATTAAAAAAAAAAAAAAAAATCTCCCCGCGCACTTGAGAAATGGGGGTGCCCCTTTTCAATGAGCCCGAGAGCTCCGAAGACTACCGGAAAAATGGTACATCCCGAAGCCACTGAGGGTGGCGAACTTACCTGCCCGGCCGCAGAGCGCCAGGGGACAGGTCCCCAGGACGCAGAGCAGCAAGAAGGGCACGGACGCAGTCGCTGCCGCCTGCATGGTGCTGCTGTCAGCCTACCGCGCCCGAGACGCTCAGCTGCTCATGCCGGGGCTGCCTGGTCCGGCTCTCTAGCTCAGAGCCCTCCGGCTTCCCTCAGCCGCCCCCTCCCAGCCCGGGCCGATGCTGCAGCTGCCAAGGAGCTGCAGCCTCCACCRCGGCGCTGCCTCAGTGCTGCATTGTGTTCCGCGGGCGCTTCCGCTGGTGGGGGGAGCGAGCGAGTGCTGCATTGGGCGGTTGGCTGTAGCTAAGTGGTTTCTAGCGCCTCCCACCTCATACCCTGGCACTGGCTCAGCCGGGCGACGAGCACTCGGCAGGGAGCGAGCGCCCGGTGCACTCGCCCCCCGCGCACCAGTAGGGGCGCGCGCAGGAGTCAGCTGGGAAATGTAGTTCTCTAAGCATTCTGCTAGGTCTCCACGACCGTGCCAACTACTACGACCTCGTGACCCTAAGGTCCTCTATATCCTGCAGACCAGAGGGAGGAAAAAGGCGAAGAAACTAGTGGTCATTACTGGCAGAAGCCGTGGCGCCATAGATACCAGCTGCGCTGCTGTGGCAGCGAGTATTCATCCACAGTGTCCTCAAGAAACTATAATGTTTCCCACAAATTGATAGCTAAAGTTAGTATCACAGAACAAGACCCTAAGACAGGTTAAGTTAATCATCCAACAAACATGGTTTGAGGATCCGCTTTGTGGCAGGTGGTTGGCAATGATTAAGGACACCAGTATGAGTCCCCTGCGCAAATGCAGTTGAGTACGAAGGCAGGTTTTTGTTTCTTATTTGGTTTTGTTTTTACATTATGGTGTGGAAAGATGATAATATATGAAAAGGTCTAGGCAGACATTTGTATGATTCTCTCAACTCTTGAGGACATTTTTGTTCCTTCTAGAATATCTGCCTGCCTCAAACCTGTATTTGAAAACCAGGCATGGGGAACTCTGCTTTCTCAAGCCAATTATTCTATTTTCCTCTAGTTTCAAATGTTAGTGAAACCCTTCCTCAAAAATAAAAAAGTAAAATAAGCCAGGCGCGGTGGGGCAAGCCTGTTATCCCACCAGCTGGGGAATGATAGTGAGTTCGAATCTAACCTCATCAAAAGAAAGGCGCTAAGCAACTCAGTGAGATCCTGTCTCTAAATAAAATACAAATAAGGTCTGGGGATGTGGCTCAGTGGTCCAGTACCTCTGAGTTCAATCCCTGGTACCTAAAAAAATAAGAAAGGCTGGGGATGTAGCTCAGTGATTTGCATTCACAGGGAGATTACAGTATACATTTATGTTTTCCGCCATGCCTATTTGAACTTTCTTGTCCTTTGTTATAATTTGGATAGATTTTAGCTATCCAGATCCTATAAAGGAATCACATTAATTAATCATGTTGATATCATATTTATTGGACCAAATATGCAAGAAGTTGCTAGAACATTGGAAACTTTAGAAACATGTTTTCTGCAGCCAGGTGTGATTGAACACACCTGTAATCCCAGCTACTCTGGAGGCTGAGGCAGGAGGATGATAATTCAAGGCCAGTCTGGGCAACTTCGTGAGACACTGTCTCAA